CCTCTCTACCTATCGTCCGTTCTCTTTATTTAGGAGCTTTATCTACTTCGTATTCATCGTCCTTCAACTGTCCATGCCTGTCTTCCCTTCCTACTTTTTATCCACTTCTCAATATCAAAAAGTATCTCTGTCTGCCACGTATTTCTCTTTCTCTCTCTCCCTCTCCTTCACTCTCCTCTCCCATACTTATCTTCTCCCTCAAACCTTCTCACTTTCTCCCACTCTTCTCTCCCTCTTCCCTCCACCCCTTCTCCCTTCTCTCCCCTTCCCTCCACCCCTTCCCCCTCTCTCCCCTTCCCACCACCCCTTCTCCCTCTCTCCCCTTCCCACCACCCCTTCTCCCTCTCTCCCCTTCCCACCACCCCTTCTCCCTCTCTCCCCCTTCCCTCCACCCCTCCCCCCTCTCTTCCCTTCCCTCCACTCTTTCTCCCTCTCTCCCCTTCCCACCACCCCTTCTCCCTCTCTCCCCTTCCCACCACCCCCTTCTCCCTCTCTCCCCTTCCCTCCACCCCTTCTCCCTCTCTCCCCTTTCCCACCACCCCTTCTCCCTCTCTCCCCTTCCCTCCACCCCTTCTCCCTCTCTCCCCTTCCCACCACCCCTTCTCCCTCTCTCCCCTTCCCTCCACCCCTCCCCCTTCTCTTCCCTTCCCTCCACTCTTTCTCCCTCTCTCCCCTTCCCTCCACCCCTTCTCCCTCTCCCCCCTTCCCTCTCACACACCCAGCCTGCTATGACTGGTACCTAGTTGTTGACCCTACCGCCAGAGGGCCCAAGGTCGGCAATCGAGAGTAAAAGTTAAGGTCGGGTTACCTGCTCTAACAGGCCCAGAATGATGCACGGCAGAACTACGCCACACGCGGACGATTTTCGCCCGTATAGTCGCGATTCTATGTTCCCCCTGTTATTGTATGCAATCATATATATAAAATAGCTATAAAATAATCATTAGAGATACGTTTCACTCCAAAAATCTGACGAAAATCGAACAAAATAGAATAAAACAGATGCAAAATAATCTTCAAAGTTACGCAGCATTACAAAATCTGACGAATATCAAGTAAATCCAATTTCACTCCATGTATGTCCAACCTTTCAAACTAGGCCTATCGTCACAGCCTACAGAGCAACTACACCACTCCACATGGATAACGTCTTTGCTATTAAACTTGCGGTTCAGCCTGGCCACAAAAGGCTTTTTTCTTCTTGGCTTCCGTGTAACATTACGCATACTGGCCTCATACCATGCAGGTACCTCCTTTTAACCAGAATCAATTTGATTCTCTCTTTCTCTGCTAATCTCTCTCTCTCTCTCTCTCTCTATCTATCTATCTGTTTGTTCTCTGTCTCTTTTTCTCTTTCCTTTACACAAAACAGCCGGGGAAAACACTAACATCCTCAAAAAAACAAACAGGTAAATAACCCACATCCACTGAATACCCGCACGGTACTTGTAACCCACTTACCCGCCCACCAACTACCCAGCTCTGACCTCATACAAGCCCCCCCACACCCCCTACCTCCCTCCCCTCGTCCACACCATCCCCTTCTTCTTGCAACATACCAATCCACCTGCCAAACTACCACCCACAGAGAACCCCCACTTCTTCTCCCCCCTCCCCTCAACCGCTCCCTCCCCTCACTCTACCTTCCCCACCCTTCCCTCCCCTCCCCCCTTTCCCTTCCCCATCCCCATCCCTACCTTCCCCCTTTCCCTCTTCTCCCTCACCCACCATCCCCAATGCCTACCCGTATTTCCCTTTCCCCCCTTTCTCTTCCCAATCTCCTCCATTTTCTCCCTTCTCCCACTCCTCCTCCATCCTCCCTTCTTCCCTTCCCCCCCCCCTCCCCTTCCCTATCCCCTCCATCATCATCCTTCTCCCACTCCTCTCCCTCCCCCCACAACCCACACCTTCCCCCTCCCCCCTCCTAGCAAGTACTTACAATGGTTTATCAAGGTTATTTGTAGACTACCTGTATCGTGTGCGTTTCGTCCATCTGTGTCTACATGAAAACATCGTTGTGGACAGGAATAACCTTAGAAGTTAATGGAAGAAAAGTATCTGGCTCTCGGATCACCGCTGTTCGAAATAAGGAGAGAGAAAGACAGAAAGAAGAACGGTTGAGGTTAAGAGATAAGAAAGAATAAGACTAACTTTGTTTTTTTATTCACTGAAAATATCCTTAGAATCGAAAGAGACAGAGAACGAGAAAGGAGAGGAAAGACTGAGGCGAAAGAGAGAGAGAGAGAGAGAGAGAGAGAGAGAGAGAGAGAGAGAGAGAGAGAGAGAGGAAAAAGAAAGAAAGAAAAAGAGACAGAATCACACAAAGAGAGAAAAAAATGTGAACGAATGTTAGATACAGCGTCAGATAAAGAAAAAGAAACGAGAAAGAAAGAAAAAAAAAGAAAGAAAGAAAGAGAGAAAGATTCGTCGCCAATGATGATGCGCTAATGTTCTCGATCTGCTGATGAATATTCTATTACGCAATCCCAATAGGCCATATGATGATTCATGGTGATTCACGTTCCAAGATGGCCCTGCCCTGACCCTCCCTTTCTTGGCCAAAATACAGAAGCTCCCAAGGTCAGTAACGGAACGAATATGTAATGACAGAATACGCAATACGCAATTCTACGCACTGACATATCGTTATTATTATTATTATTGTTCTTAGTCAAATCTATCTATCTTTGTCTATTCTCTGTATGCATGAATGTTTGCATGTGTGTATGTGTGTGTGTGTGTGTGTGTGTGTGTGTGTGTGTGTGTGTGTGTGTGTGTGTGTGTGTGTGTGTGTGTGTGTGTGTGTGTGTGTGTGTGTGTGCGTGTGAGTGAGTGTGTGTGTGCGTGTGAGTGAGTGTGTGTGTGCGTGTGAGTGAGTGAGTGAGTGAGTGAGTGAGTGAGTGTGTGAGTGTGTGTGTGTGTGTGAGTGTGTGTGTGTGTGTGAGTGTGTGTGAGTGTGTGTGTGTGTGTGTGTGTGTGTGTGTGTGTGTGTGTGTGTGTGTGTGTGTGTGTGTGTGTGTGTGTGTATGTATGTATGTATGTATGTATGTGTGTGTGTGTGTTAGTCCAATTATCGGGGTCTGAGGGACATCTGCACGCACAAGTCCTTCATTTCCCAATGCATCAAAAAATACAACATTTTCCTCGATTTAAAATTCATTCACCAACCAGAACAGACTACATGTTTAATACACTGGCAAAAACAAGTTCAACATTTTCTCTTTTAAAATGCAAACTCAAGATAAAAAAAATCCAAAATTAAAAAAAGTCAGACACCTCGATTTCTCTCCCCATCCTTCACCCCCCCTCTCTCTCTTTCTCTCTCTCTCTCTCTCTCTCTCTCTCTCTCTCTCTCTCTCTCTCTCTCTCTCTCTCTCTCTCTCTCTCTCTCCTTTTTATTCCCTCACTAAGCCGTTTCCCTCGCTCAACATCCAAACTCACTTCAACTTTCGGGTCATGCTTTTCATCAACTCCGTACCTACTCCGTCCACCTACGATTACCCGTTATTACTAAAACGATTTTTTTTTATCCAAAACCTTACAACTACCAAGAACTACCTCACCTACAGCGACCAACGACTGGCAAGAACTATCTACAGCTACCTACGACTGTCTACGGCAACTAACAACTACCTACGCTAACCTACGGCAACTAACAAGTACCTACACAAACCTACGGCTACTAACAACTACCCACGCCCACCTATGGCTACAAACAACTACCTACGCATACCTACGGCTACTAACAACTACCCACGCCCACCAATGGCTACAAACAACTACCCACGCCCACCTACGGCTACAAACAACGACCCACGCCCACCTATGGCTACAAACAACTACCTACGCCCACCTACGGCTACTAACAACTACCCACGCCCACCTACGCCCACCAATGGCAACAAACAACTACCTACCACCACCTACAGCGACCTTCAACTACCACCCACAACAATAGGTTAACCACCAGCTCCTCTCCGCCACACTAACGGCGACGGCGACCATTGTTCTAACTTTTAAATGGTTTAAATGGCCAACTTCACCTTACAAGCGTTTGGAATGAGGGAGGAAATTGGGAAGTCGGGGGGAGGAGGGAGAGGGGAAGATAATGGGAGGGAAGGAAGATGGGATGGAAGGAAGGTGGGAGGGGGGGGGGGGGAGGAAAGGTGGGAGGAGGAGGAAGAGGAGAATGGGGAGGGGGGAGGCAAGGGGGGAGGGGGAGAGGGGAAAGATAGAAGCAGGAAGGAGGGGGGAGGGAGAAGCAGGATTGGAGGGAAAGAGGGAGAGGTGGAGGCAGGAAGGGATGAAAGGAGGAGGAGGAGATAAAGAAGGAAGAGGTGGAGGAAAGGAGTAATAGTAGTATGAGAGGGGGGAGGGGAGAATGAGCATGGGGGTATGGAGGGAGAAACTGTGGGCGGGGAAAAAAACACGAGGTAAAGGCTGGCAAAGGTGACCTGTTCGCACTGCTATGCGGTCCAATTGTTCGTTTGATGTTCAAGGAAAACTGCCAGATGGAACTAGTAGACGAGAGAGAGAGAGAGAGAGAGAGAGAGAGAGAGAGAGAGAGAGAGAGAGAGAGAGAGAGAGAGAGAGAGAGAGAGAGAGAGAGAGAGAGAGAGACAGACAGACAGGATGTTTATTTCTGATGACCGTAATGATGATTGATGAAAACGCCTTTTCCCCCCAAGATCGGGATAAAAAAAAGAAAAGAAAAAAACTAGCGGCAAAATACCTCCCAAAAGATGGGAACTAACAGAAGGTGAAGCAGAAAGACAGAGGATAAACATGTGAAGCAGAAAAGAAAGAAAATAAAAAAAGAAAAGGTGAATCAGAAAAGTAAGAAGATAAAACAAGAAGTGAAGCGGAAAAGAAAGCAAGAAAAGACACACAAGAGAAAAAACAGGGAACTAGAAATAAAAAAAGAAAAAGAAAAAGAAAAGAAAGACCCCCGTCAAGAAAGCAACAACCCCAACAATCCTAAAACTTGTGTCCACACTCACGTTGTGCTCGAGGCGGTTGTTGACGGAGTTGACGGCGATCTCCTCGAATTCGAAGGAGTCCTCAGGCCTGTAGTAGATGTAGTAGAGGTCGACGGAGCCGAAGAGCTGCGCCGGCCTCAGCCACTGCAGGTAGAGGTTGCCGTCGGGCTGGCACGTCAGGTTGGAGATCACGGGCGCGCCGGGACCCGACACGTCCGTCTTCACCGTCAGCGGCACCGACGACGTGCCCTCGTGGCGCTGCGTGAACGCCTTCGTCCACACCTTGAAGTTGGTGTTGGGGGCTGCGGGGGGAGGGGCGGGGTTAGCATCTGTTTGTTTGGTTATTTACTTGTTTATTTATTTATTTATCTATCTCTTTCTAGATGGTTGGATGACTGGATTGGTGAAATGAGGTAACACATTTGTGAATAGGATGAAAGGTGATATGACAATAACGATAATAACGGCGATGACGACGATGATAAAAATATATATATATATATAACGATAGCAGTAACATAATGATCATGATATAAGAACAACAAACAACAACAATAAAAATAACAATTATAACGATGATAATAATGATGCTAACAACAAGACAAAACAAACCACCAACAATAATAATCACCATAACAATAATAACAATAATAATCACAATAATAGAGAACACACAATAACAACAGCACACCAAGTAAACGTTTGAATTAGATGTTGCTTGTCTTTCAACTTCCTCTGTTTTCCTTCATCTCGACAACTTCAGCGGAGTGAGGCGAGCATTGCCCTTTTTTTTATGAAATTCGTGCATTGTTCATAAACTTCTTTGCAATCTGGCGGACAATATGATGAACGCGGCTTTTGTTCAGTCTCAAATGGTGTTAAAAAAACCACGATCGAAACAGGTGAACGCAAAATCCCTTTTGTTCAAACTAGATACTCAAAAAACACGCAGCCAGGCCCGTTTTGTTTTGGAAGTGACACAAAAAAAAAGAAAAAAACTTAAGGCCAAATATTTTCATGAAGTGAGGTTGTTTCATCATACAAGTTTGCGACGAGTATTCATCAAAATTTGCATAAACAATGTGGGTGCTAAAAAAGAAGAAAAAGAAAAAAGGAGGAGAAGGAAAATAAATGAAAAAAGAACAGAAGAAGAAAAACAACATTTAGAAGAAGAACGACAGAAAGAAAAAATAATAATAACAAGAAGAAAAAGAAGAAGAAGAAGAAGAAGAAGAAGAAGAAGAAGAATTAGAAAAAAACGAAAGAAAGAGAAACAATAATAACATGAAAAAATACACACAAAAAACATAAAACAGAAGAAAAAAAACACATGGGTACGTTCAATCGAAAACCCACGCTCTCGACGCACCTGTTCAATAAACCGGTATGCAAGTCGCGTGGGTTTTTAATTCCCTTCGGCCCCATCCAGCATCGCAAATCAGAGCAATTGAAGAGATCATTTGCAACATTTTTGGCGTCATTATATAATCCACGGTGACTATCATGGTCATCAGCATAATACCAATGAGAAACGTTGAATCACGCACGGCCTGGTTTAAATACCACGATGCTTACGTAATGCTGGTGGCGTTCTCTTGTCTATTTGTCTGTGTCTATCTGTCTGTCTATCTTTACATTCTATCGTTATCGCCCCTCACCTCCCTCGCTTCCTCTTCCCCCTCCTCCCTCACCTATCTTCATCCCTTCCCTTCCCTCTCTTACAACCCCTCCCTCATCTTCCCTCCTCCGTTCCCTCCTCCCCTCCTTCCCCAACTCTTCTCACCTTCCCTATACCCCCCCCCCTCACACCTCAAGGCTGTGACCTTAAAGAGCGATTGGACCCCCCCTCCCCCTCCCCAATCGGTGTCGACATCACCACGCGTCCCAATCTGCTCGTCCCTTATCAACATGCCCAGACACGCCGCAGCAGTCATGGCCGCAGACAAACAAACAAGCAAGCAACGAAGAAAAACATGATAGAAAACAAAGAAAAAGCGCAAACAAGTATAAAAAAAAAAAAAAAAAAAAAAAAAAAAAACAGGGCAAACGCGAGCTGACAAGTAGGCCTAACGAAAAACAAACAAAGAAACGTACGGGAACACACAATGAAAGTAAATCAAACAAGTCCAAAATAAGTAAAGAAGCAACAAGAGGGAATTTAGTAAAACAAAAGTATCAATACAACAACAGCAATAATAATGGTGATAATGACAATAATGTTGACCATAATAACAACAAAAGCAAAAGTAAAAACAACAATCACAACAATGCTAGTGATAATGACATTAATCATAACCATAATCATAATAATAATAATAATAATAATAATAATAATAATCATAAGAATAAGAATAATCATAATCATAATAATAGTAATAATAATAATAATAACAACAATACTGACGATAATAACAGAAGTAAAAATAACAAACGGCTAAAAAGGAACAGTTCCCACGAGTCTATATATTTGAAGCTTATGAGCTTCGTTAAAAAAAGAAGCTCTGCTCTTTCACTGTAGTCTAATTAAAACTACAATCTGATATCCAATTTCGAAATTATTTACTGATACAAATATCGGTTAATCCTTTGCCTTTTAATGACCAAAAAAGGACGACCATTCTCTCTCTCTGTCTCTGTCTGTCTCTCTCTCTCTCTCTCTCTCTCTCTCTCTCTCTCTCTCTCTCTCTCTCTCTCTCTCTCTCTCTTCTCTCTCTCTCTCTCTCTCTCTCTCTCTCTCTCACTCTCTCTCTCTGTCTCTGTCTCTGTCTCTGTCTCTGTCTCTGTCTCTGTCTCTGTCTCTGTCTCTGTCTCTGTCTCTGTCTCTGTCTCTCTCTAGCTCTCGTCCTCTCTCACTCACTCACTCACTCACTTTCTCCCTCTCTCCCTCCCTCCTTTCCATCCATCCTCCGTCCCTCCCTTCCTTCCCTCCTCCATCTCAATTTCTTCTTCCTCTCCATCTCCTTCCCTCCCTCTACCCCTTATCCGCGCCGGCACTCATCGTGAGAATGGGCGTGAGTGCAAATGCGTATTACTTATGCGTATTGCTTGCACGTGCTTGGGAGGCGACGCGCGCTGGCTCCTCCTGGGGGCGACACGCAGGTCCCTCTGCGGCGGCGGGGGTGGCGACGGCCCGGCCAATTAGCCCGTCATTACCTGCGGTCCGGCGCGGTCTCGGGACCACTTAACCTCCGAGCCTAACTGGTCTCCTTTGTTTATATACGGTTCTGCCATCTGTTGACGTTTGTCTGTCTGTTTGTGTGTCTCCCTTTATTGTTTGCGGTCGAGGTGGAAGGAAGCGATGATGGGGGGGGGGGGGTGGAGGAAGAGGAAGTGAGGGGAAATAAGGAGGAGGAGACAGACCTATCTGTCTGTTCATTTGAGCCATTCTCTCTCTCTCTCTCTCTCTCTCTCTCTCTCTCTCTCTCTCTCTCTCTCTCTCTGCCTCCCTCGCTATTTCCTCCGCCCAGCCCTGTTTTTGTCTCTTACTCTCTCTCCCACCCTCCCTCTCTCTCCCTCTCCGTCACACATTCACACAAACACATACATAAACACACACATACACAAACAGACACGCACGCCAAGGCCACACTTACACGGCGAGTGGGAACATTACCCTTACTTATGCGCACCGCAACAATTTCGCCTTCGCTCACGCCTAGTCATTTTCAAGATCACATAATGGGGGGAGGGGGAGGGGAGGGGAGGGGAGGGGAGGGGGAGGGGGAAGTAGAGGGGGAGGGGAGGGGAGGGGAGGGGTTGGGGAGGGAAGTAGAGGGGGAGGGGAGGGGGACGTAGAGGGGGAGGGGAGGGGGAAAGGTAGGAGGGGGAAGGTGAGGGGAGGAGGTAATGGGGGAGTTCAAAAGGAGTGGAAGAGAGAGGGGGGGGCAGGGAGAGGGGAGGGCAAGCGGGACTAGGGCAAAGGGGAGGGGAGGGAGAACAGGAAATGGGATAGAGGGAGGGAGCGTGAGTATAGGGAGTGGGGGAGGAGGGAATGAGGGAGGAGGGAGTGGGGGAGGAGGGAATGAGGGAGAAAGGCACAATATTTTTTTTAGGGGGGATATGGTGGAGGGGCAGTAGGAGGAGGAGGAGGGGGTTGCATGCCACAGGAAGTGGGTCACTGTCGCGCATTTTTCGAGTCTTTTGTTTCAGAGGACGTCGCGGTGGCGTCCATCTTTGTTCACTTGTTTTCTTACTCTTTTATCCATCTTTATTATTCCTTTGTTTGTGTCTTGCGGGGAGAGGGAAGAGGGGTAGAAGGAAGGGGAGGAGGAGGGGCAAAGGGGAAGGGAAAGGGATGGAAGGAAGGGGGGGAGGAGAAGAAAAGGGAGAGGAGTAGTGGGGAGGAGAGGAGGAAGGGAAAAGTGGAGGGGCATAGGGGAGGGGGGAGGGGGAGAAGAGAGAAACAGGGATAGAGGGGAGGAGGGGCAGAGGGGTGGAGAGTGAAGAGGGGGGGGGTGACGTCTCAGCGGTCTTCTTCGCCAAGGGAAACATGGGAAAAGAGGTGACGAGGTGGAAAGGAAACGAAAGAGAGAGAGGGAAGAGAAGGGAAGAGAAGGAAACAGAAGGGAAGGGAAGAAAATAAAAGAGAAGAGAGTAGAACAGCGAGAAAAGTAAAAAGAGAAAAAAATACTGAAAAAGGAGAAAGATGAAAAGCGGAAAAAAAAGAGAACCGACAGCCAAAAGAACGAAAAAAACAAAAACAAAAGAGAGCCAAAGACAACAAGACCGAGGGAGCGAAAGACACAACCAGGCAACGCAAAACCCGCCCAAAACCTGCACAAAACCCCGCAACTCGACCCCCCCCCCCCCACCGCGCGAAATGCCCCGCCAATCGTGACCTTCCCGCGCTAGCCGACCTTTCCGCTGCATCCAAAGTTCATCTTCCCGAGGGCGAATCTCTGGCGGGAACTGATTGGCGAATCGCTCACCTCTCCCGTGCCGGACTCGGTCGCTTGCGCTTTGTGATACGGAACGAGTTGGTAATATATAAATATATATATATATATATATATATATATATATATATATATATATATATATATATATATATATATATATATATATACATACATACACACATATATATGTATAGATATAGATACATATATAAAGAGTAATAGAGGAGAGAGAGAGAGAGAAGAGAGAGAGAGAGAAGAGAGAGAGAGAGAAGAGAGAGAGGAGAGAGAGAGAGAGAGAGAGAGAGAGAGAGAGAGAGAGAGAGAGAGAGAGAGAGAGAGAGAGAGAGAGAGAGAGAGAGAGAGAGAGAAAAGTGGTTATAAATGTTTGGTTATTATACGGCCAA